AATTCAATATTAAATCCTGACCCTGTTGTTAACAAACTCTTCAATTTCTATACTTGATCACTTAAAAACTTAAAAAATGTTCCTTTTTGGTTATTTTTGAATATTTTTGTTAGCAAATACTAAGTAAATGAATTTCTTTAAATTTCCATTCCCAAAATACAGAACCCTGTGCTCATAAAATATTTACTAGTATAGACTGAAACCGGGTTGAAATGTTTCATTTGGTTGAACAACAACATAAGCCGGTTGAAATTAAAACAACTTAATATTAACAGAGTTGAACGACTAACATAATTTTGCGGTTGCCGGTGGAATGCTGTTAAAACACTGCTGGGGCTTCGCTTAATACTTAGAAGTTTGGCGAAAAGGGAAACTGGTATAGGTACCGAAAAGCTGTTTATAAGTTTTTTTTTTTTAATTTATGAAGCTCTAATTCAACCTAAGAACCCTTTTAGAGATACGCTGTTATGAAGTGTTGCCGGCATGGCTTTCAACCACTTAACAGGGCCTCACGCTGCGGCTTTCAATCACTTTACAGGGCCTCACGCTGCGGCATTGTTTACATGTTAACCTACGACAACATTAACATCTTGTTGAAACAGGGTCCGAAAGTTTCGAGACTTGATTGTTAAAAATCTGTGGGAGCGATTTTGATGGGCTAGCTTTCTCGTGCATAATGGCGCATCCTAGTAAAGTCGTTTATTCGAATATAAGGAAACATAACTGCAGCTATTAAACGTAAAAAAAAACAACGTATTCTTAATTATTACTAAAAATTGTTAAATAACGAAAAACATTCGCATATTAACTTTTTTTTCAATAATCATTAAAATAATAAATATAAAACGAATTTTTGTGGAAAACTGAGTGCCAGCAGTGTAAATTATTCTTCAATAATTATTTAATAACATATTTTGAGTGAAATATATTAATAAATTATTATTATTATTGGTACTTATCGTGTTGTCGCTCTTCCGTTTCGATATTAATATCGATGGGTATTCTTTTCCAAACATCGATACCCTCTGGTGTCGAAGAACTTGCATATAAATAGACCAGGCAATCGTGTTCTGGTCAGTTGGTTATGAGCCTTGCGGCTTACATCAGCTCCCAGAATGAAAATTGTTCTTGCATTTTCTATTTTAACTTTTAAATTCGTTCTTATATACTATTTTTTTTTTTTTTCATAATATATTTAAAAATTAGATATAAATAAAAGATCTTTATGCCCTGGTACACCACCTGCCACCTGTAACTTTCATCTTATGGAACTTAGCATAGTTTGGGAATTTTTTTAACAAATTACCAAATAGGGACTCAAAGGCAAGCCTCCACCAACCGCTTAAAATCAAAGAGGTATTCATCTAAATTTTGTTTACTAAAGGTATTCATTAAAATTTTGTTTAGTTGGGTGTGAATACAACCTTGTTGTAAACAAGTCCACATATCCCAATCTTCTGATTGTTCCGCAAATTATACAGCACTTGAACCCCATTTTGTTTAAGGTATCTAATGGCCTCCAAATTGGCAGCGCATTTATCAGCCAGCCAATTTGGTGGCAAGCTCGGGGCTTAATTAATAATTTAATTTAATAAGTTTAGAGTTTGACATTATTCTTTGTTTTTGTTTTTGGACAGACAATATTTTGTTTAAGTTCTTAATTCTAAATTCGTATCTTAAAATAAATAATTTTTTAGTGTTTACACTTATATCGAACTGCTCAGCAGCGAACTTATTTTGTTTTTAAATGTCGATGAAGGCTTCATCAGTCCTCCATGCGAAACCTCATCTACATATGTAAACGTCGACTCATCTGCCAGCTCATTAGACAAACGTAATATTTTTACGACAAAACCTGCCAGGTATTCAAGTGCATCCTCCGTCAACTCGTTTATCTCTTCAAATTCTTCGTCAAAATCAAATTGGAGATTGCAATCTTTAGGCTCGTTCTCTTCGTTTTTAATATTTTGGACGGCTTGAGAAAAGGTACAATAAAGGTACAGTCCAAAGACTGCTCCCACAAAGCTCTTTTTTCAATACACTTTGGAACATGCACAAACTTTACGCCTAGCACGTGCTTGCGACAATATTAGCAAAAAGTCATTTTTTGCTTGGCCACTTAAGGGATAAAGTTATGAAAACAAAATCACCTTTCAGTTTGACAGTTTGAAATTAAGTGACCAAACCCTAACGATATGTCAGTGGAATGGACTACCTTATATAATTGTATCATGCCCCAAACATGGAGCGAAAATTGAGAAAAAGAGAGAAGAGAAATATTAAAGAGAGAGAGAGAGAGAGAAAGAGAACAGCTGTTCAGTATTACCCTTTTCCTTAATTTTTTTGGTCACACTAGCTCGGTAGCCAAATAAAGAGCGATTTCGCTTTCACACGTGTTACAGAGGATTTTCGTCGTCAGAGTACTAGGCTTAAATCATAATTTTTTTTATTAGTTAATCATTTTCAAACACTTGCAAAAACAAGAAAGGAAAGCTAACTTCGGGCGGAGCCAAAGTTGATATACCCTTTCAGTTAAAACCGGATATATATCGCAAACATCGGATAAAGTTGGTCTATCCTTATGAGAATATGATAATATAACCCAATTTATAATAATACAAAATTTTATAAAAATTCCCAAACTACTATCTTCACAAATACAAAAGTTGGTATTTTTACCAAATACCATTTTCGATCACTCAGTTAGTTGACAGATATAGAATATATTAGGCCGATCGGACAGACGGACATGCTCATATCAACTCAGGAGGTGATCCTGATGAAGAATATATGTACATATATACTTTATACATAGGTTCGGAGATGTCTCCTTCACTGCGTTCCACACTTTTGGACAAAATTATAATACCCTCAGTATTATAAAAAATATGTCAAACTAATTACTTTGCAGTTATAAAATTTGCACTTTAACTTATTTGTTTATAATAAGGTTCCGTTTAAAATGATGATTTTTATAGATTAAGATAATATCCTCACGATAATTTTCACAATGAAAATTAGTGAAGATTAAAACCTTTTAATCAAATGCAAAAAATTTGTATGGACATACGATAGTTTCGCGCGCACATTGAAAAGCACTGTAACATCCGATAAAATTGAAACTTTATTTTATTTATTTTATCGGAACTATAATTTTTTTTAAAAATTAATTTCTTTTAATTAGGTGCCTAAAAATTTTGCATTAAAATCTCAATTTCGAAAAAAAGCTACCTACGATACTTTCGCGGAAATGCGTCGATATGCATGTAAATATAAAAAAAAAATATATAATAATAATAAATATAATAATAGAATATAAAAAAAATAATGTACAAATTAAATATAATATAGAATATAGAATGATAGAAAATAATAAATATACATTTCTACGGTTAGGTTACATTGGTTTAGCTAATACATTGGCTACCCTATGTTTATTGGCGCCAACAACTTATTTGTTTACTTTGTGTGATAACTTTTGTGAAAAAGTTTTGAAAATGCAGTACGTAAAAACTTTGGACGTTCTTAACGGAAACCTATCAGATATAGTTATGATATGGTTAGAAAAACGTAAAGAATCCTTTAAAACCCGATTCGTGATTCGGGCTTTTCCTGCTGCTCAACACCATTTTCATTCTCTCTAAAATGGCAGCCGATCTCATCTTTTCTATGCCACCTGATGCCTAACAAAATTAAATTAATTTCATTTACATAATAATACGTAATTATTGTACTTACTGTTTGTAAATAAACAATTTGCAAGTTTTCTTTGAAATTGGGAGCTGCAATTGAAAATATTTTCCAATTCTTCAGTTGAGTTGGACCATTCTGTTAAAAACATATAAATAAGTATAAATATTTATTTATTTATTTTATTCCTATTCTTTGTTTGAATATGAATAAAATCTGCCAATTAAAAAAAAATATTTTTTTAAATTAACAAAAAACACAAGGATTTAGGACGTAAATACCAACCTCCCTATGTGAGTTTAGAAACTAACTATAATTTTTGAAAGAGTTTTTAGCAGTATAAGGTATTAATCATTTAATAAACTTTTCATACAAATGGTCATCTTGTCTTCAAGACGCACTTAAAAGCCTAGTTCGCTTTAGAAGCTATAACCTGTTGGCGATTCCATTAGGCATTCAATTATTCCAGAGCCGAACCCCATTTCCTGAATGACTTTTCATATCTGGCATGTTAAATAGGCTCCAAAAAATATAATTAATAAAAGCTCAGCCTGCGACTGCCACCCCCTTCCGGGCCGAAAACAATTGCCTTTTGTCTAATGTGCGTTTGCATTGTGCCGCTCAAAAATGTTGTTTACATTGCGGTAATTAGCCTACGTGCATGGCATCCGAACCTCTTCAATTGCCCGTCTGGCATTTCAATTTCCCTAACAGATGCACCTGCCGCTGTTGGGAAAGCCCTGTTAAGGAGAGCGCGGTTCTGTTAAGAGCCTGCGTGAGAGGTCTCTCTTTCTGCGCAATAACAACACTGCTCTCATTTTTCACTGAGAAAAATTAGCGGTTTTTAACTGTAAATATTTTTAAGTTTAAAAACTTACAAATATTGTTGTGAATGAAATTTATTTAGATTGAACTTGGCAAGTGCTTGGGACATTTTTAAAGAAGAGGATGAGAATGGTTGGTAGAAATTCAAAGGATATCGAAGGAAAAGTCCAATATTATAAGTTATGGTATGGATTCTATACGTCCTAATAAGTACCATAATCTAATCAGAATCACCAATACCATCTTACGCATGTCTAGACCATAGGTAAACCCATTTTACCAACTTCAAACCTTTTAAAATTAAATAAATAAAAAAAAAGAAGTATTTTTTTCCAGTGTACTTTGCTCTCTTGCAGCACTTTCACTCTCTTTCCTTTTCGCCTCTCTCTCTCTGTTACTCTCGTGCTACCGCACGAAGGGTGACCCAGGCCAGGCCAGGCCAGGTGGCCGCAGAAACCAAACTCAGATCCAGTTTTCAGATACTTTTTCGGATTCAGTTACTTTCGAAGTTTCTCAGCGAACGGTACACGCGGCGGATGATTTTCGACGATTTCTCCAGCCGGAAACGAGACACGAGAACCAAATCTCTCAAATAAAACACGAAAAGCGAACAGCATCTTGTTGGGATTCGAGTGCGTGGATATTGTGAAGCATACAGTTTGAAGACAGCTACGAGTACTGTTGGTGGATTGTGTAAATAGAATATTATAGGAGAAAAGCGCGGTTTCACAGTGCGACATTCATATGCAAATCCGGCGGAACTGAGGCCGAGAGACATAATTTGCGAATTAAATCAAAACACACGCAGCAGGCACGGCGGGCTCTCTCTGCGAGCCGGCAAATCCTGGCAACAACAATTCCAGGACAGTGAAGGGACGCTTGGCTGAGCACTGAACGCTTTCACGTTACGCGACGCGAGCAGTTAACAGTTAACCGCTTACCGTTACGCTTCCGCTTACGTCCGAGTGCACTGGGTGTGCGAGCGAGCCGACAATAGGCGAGTGGGCAAATAGTACGTTATGCCGCCCACGTAATGTGTGCCGAAATTTAAATTCCGCTTTATGCAAATACGACTGCTGTCTGATGGTCTGACTGTCGGCGCTTGAGAGTGCGTGAGTGTGGGTGCGCTTGCATGTGGATTACCATAAACGTAAACAAAAGGATTAGACGTTACGCTGCCGGGATTACGAGAGCGATTGAAGCAGTTTTTCCAATAGCTCTGACTCTGACTCGGGCTCAGGCTCTGGCTCCAGATTCAGCTCCAGGTGAGTTGTGTGTGTAAATGATGTATTACCTGGAGGGCGAGAGGGTGGTGCAGGGAGGGCGGGAACCTGCGGCGGCACTTGCGGTTGCTGTGTGTGGCATGTTAAGTGCAATCCATTATACAGATATGTGCCTTGCACATGCAGGTTTGCTCTCTGTCCCTGTCTTTGGCCCTGTCGCCCACCCCCTCCGGAGCTCCGGAGCTTGTCTTCTGTGTGTTTTCGGTTGCCACAAAATTCTGTCTTCTGTCCGTGTGTGTGTGTGAGAGGGATGGGGATAGCGATGGCTGGGAGGGGAAGGACGAGCCTCTTAATGCATCCATCAACTTCAATGGAATGCCATTCAATCAGTATTTCCTTTTTGTGTTTTTTTGCGAGAATATTGCAGTTTTGCGTTTTTCTCAAAGGGGAAACATCTGCAAGATGAAGGATACATACATCTGAACTAGGGAGATGGAGTTAATTTTAATTTATAAAAGGCGACTAAAGTAGTTCCATTCAGGCACATTGTACCTTGTGGAGTTTCGGAATTTCCAAGATAAAGTTTGGGGCATCGAACAACCTTTTTTGGGACGTGGAGGTGGAGGCGGGAGAACTGCCGCAAGTTTAGAATCAGAAAAGTTTCCGAGTATCAGACAAGAGTATGATAGCTTAATTGGAACTGAGGCCGAATGGAGGCCAACACGGAGTGGGACATGCATACAGCGGGGTAATTAAAAGTTTTGCTCGGGAAATTGTTGCATATGTTTAAGGTCCCCCATGGAGTGGAATTGAATAGAATATAATTTAGTGGGATTTTGGCCAATCGTACAAACAGCAGGGCCACCCCTATGGGCTCTCAGAATCGGAATTGATTGATTCGATGTCGCTCTACTCCTAATGAAGGGCAATAAAAATTCATTTGGACTACTTACAGCCGCCACCCGGCCGCTCCTCCCAGAGTGCTCTTTCCCAGAGCCCCCGGCTATGGCCTTTTTCAATCGAACTTTTTTAATTACAAACCAAACACTACGAATTTTATTCCCGCTTTATTGAAATATCGTAGGCCGCGTTTTCCCCGGCGCCTGTCATAAATATTTTAGCAGGTTCCCGTGCTCCAGCGAGAGCAACACAAATATTTTAACCATAAAAATTGGCAGCCCAGCGGGAATCGACAAAAAATCCTTTTTCGCTGCGAACACCACGGCACAAGAACAAATACACGGCGCGGAGCGGTGCGGCGGAGGTGTATGAAAGGATACAACAATGGCATTCGGCAGTCGGCACTCGGCAGTCGCCATTCGAGAGTAAAGAAAAACGCATTTTCCAAAATATTTACACAGCAAAAATGAACAGCAGAAACGAGGCGAAACGGCAAAGAAAACTAGAAAAAGTAGCACTCTATAAGGGGAATAAAAAACAGAAATAAAATATGAAATAAGGCCGAGGCCTCGTCCTGGTCCTCGTCCTCGGTGGTCGGGCGGGAGAAGATCTATTTTATTTTTTGGCTACAATTTTTGTCACCCACCGATGTCCTGGCCGCGTGGGTGTAGCAGGGAACTCGTATTTGTACGAATATCTGGGCGAGTTGCAGTAAATAAATATACGCGTATCTCTGATGGGGATTTATGGCAGCGAGAGCCCCGGACCGGGCGCTTCTGCTGGCCTAGGACTTAAATAAATGATAGATTGAAATTTATATGGCCTGTGGGCCAGGGCCTAGCTAGCCCCGCTTGATTTCGGGAGTGGCGTGGTTCGGGCGCCAAAATTGCCGCCATTTAAATAGACTAGGTAACAAAATGTGATGCCACTGCCGGGCTAGTTAGCATTTGCCATTGTCCGGCTGGGGGGAGCCGGCCAGGATTGATAAAAACTTTAAACACCATTTTCGGGATTTATTTGTCGGAGCTCGCTTGATGTTTCGCAGGAATTCCGCTCCAGGACATTATGTGCAGCGCCTGTGCTTTTCCATATTGGAAATGTTTGTAAACTATTTGCATTGATTTGGAAATCACTTTCAAATCCCATTTAAACGTTTGCAGCTCACCTCTGACGTCGCCGAGGAGGGCATTGTTTGCATTGAATTTTCATTGATATCGGACATGCCAGTGCGAGTGTGTTTATGCAACTTGCAACAATGTTTCATAATTAATTTTTGAGCTCTGCTTTTCTATGCCCAAGCCGGGGGCGTGCCCCTTTCATATAACGGCCGCAAATTAAAAATGCAACAACAAGAGTTGCCTGAAAAGTGGAAATATGTTTGGGTTTCCAATAATAAAACTCTGCCGAAGGGCCGGCCTCTCCTGGCAACCCGAATGCAATTTATATGACCAGAATTTATTGACCAAAGCAAACCAATGGTTGCAGTGTGTTTTTCGGAAAAGTTAATATTAATTTTGATGGAAATGAAAAGCGATTCAAGTACTCCGGAGTGGAAAGACAACTAGCATTCCGAATGCCCCCAGTCAACGATAAAACAGCTTAATTTGCTGAAACATACGGCCAGTCCTCAGGGGAATATATAACGATATGAATAGGATATCAGAATCCATTCGCCGGAAGTTTAATTTCAGAAAGATATTTCCTCAAAAATGCATTACTTTTTAAGTGAGATTTAAATAAAGTTGGTCCCCTAAACTCTTTAGATTAAAGGCTGCAATACTCTGGCTGCAATTTCCCAGGAATTTTCCGGAGGTGACCGCAGCTACCAGCCCGACCCCGCCACTCCCCTTTCAAAATAAATTCGCCCGATATTGTTTCTCTGTTTATTTGCCACAGAAAGCTGCACATGGAGCTCTGCCTGCTGACTGTAAAATTAATTTCATATGGCAAATGGCTAAGAAAAATGTTTGGCCACACAATCTATGAGAATTTTATCCCAATCTAAGCAGACACAAGCTTTGTGGCAGGGTGGCAGGATGGCAGGACACAGGAGGCAGCAGGCTGATAGCCTGCCAGGCTGGAGGGAAATAAGTAAAATGCCAAAAATGCTAAATAAGATGGCTCACATATCTAAAACCCCAAAAAGAAGCTTCAATAAATAAATACGTGTGTCTGTGGGGGGGACGGGACAGGACCTCCACCCAGGTCCCTGCGGAGTCTCGTTTAATTTTGGGAAAGCGCACTCAAATGTTAATTTCATTTCCCGTTTGCCTTTTGTCTGCACTTCTCTGAGCCGCCTCGGCCCCCAGCCAGCCCCAGCCCCAGCTCCGACTCCGTCTCACTCGTGTATGTACGAGAATAAAAAAAAAAAATGATATTCGTATTTAATTTCAATTTCAAAGGATTTTCCATGTATTTATTCAAGGACTTTATCTTAAGCATAAATTACGGGCCAACGAACGGGCAAAAGGACGAACGGGTGCTGGTGCGGGCACTCCGGTTGGCTTTCCGTCTGCCTCTGGCTTTCACCTACTTTCTAGGCGGACTCGAAAGGTAGCCACCCCGCCCAGCCATCCCAGCTCCCAAACATTGTCTGGCTCTGGAGCTGACTCGACTGCTCCTCCTCCTCCGGCCGGCCGTGTTTGCCAAACTGTGGCTTCCAGGTTATCTGTCTCACTTCTGTATCTCCCATCTGGTCCGCCCGACTGCCCGCCCCACGCTCCTTGACATCGCTGTCGTCGTTGTCGTGTGCATTTGGTTTTCATTTACATATGAAGCTCCTTAATAATCCTTTTGTGCACAGAGCACAGCCGTACAGCCGTACAGCCACATAGCCAGAGATGGAGCCGAGCAGAAGCAGGAGCAGGAGCTCTCAGGACTACACACGTGCACACAATTCGTGTTGCGTGCGCATAAGGAAATGCTTAAATATATGCAAATCCAGTTAAGTGTAATCATTTAGCACAAGAAAAAGTGGCCCGCCTGCTACCAGGACCTGCTGGCAGCAGCATCCTTCAGCAGAAAGCTCAGCCGGGCTCCCGAATTAGAATTTGAATGCATTTAACGCACAAAAAGGAGGTTACCAACAATGGCCAGGCGATAATAAAGTTATAAATGGTTCATTGCTCGGCCGGGCTAATGGAGACTCTCCAAGGCAGCAACAGAAAGGGATTAGATTGTCAATCCAGGGTTCTAAAGGCCCTTCCAGAGTCCATTCATCGATTCATTTAATAGCAAACATGCACCGCAGAGTGTGTACGTTTTAAAACACTAATTAGTAACTCAAATAATAAATTGAATGCCCCACTGGCGGGACAAAAGCGCGCATACGTGCGGCATTACGGAGTGCAAATAATGGAGGAGAAATGGCGAAAGAAACGCGAAAAAATCCATTAACGCTTTGTGGCATTGCATTTAAGGCCCAGCTCCCAACCCCCAACCAGCCAGAAGTCTTAAAGCCCCGGCGCATAACCACTCTAGGGGCTCAGTGCATGTGCAGAACCCCTTCCGGAGATGCGACTGAGACTAACGAGCGGCGTTAGTTTAATTTCTAGAGCAGCATTCCAGCGGAGGATTCCAGCAAAAATGTTATACATAATAAATGCAAATGCTTTTGCGCTCATAATTCCATCATCACCATCAGCAGTACGCCGGCAGGATGGCGAGATGGAGAGATGGTGAGGAATCCTTGTGATCATAGCACCGGGTCCTGGGCTCTCTTTCGCTTTGGCTTTGGGCTTTGGCTCCCTCTGCGGTTTGGCTGCCAGGACGTTTCGTGTGTCTGCAGCGGATATGAGGCGGAGGCATCACAAACAGGCCACCGGGACAGGCACAGAGACCGGGGCGCAGGGCGCAGGGCGGGGGCCTCGAAGTTGGTTGCCTATTTTCAAAAACACGGCATAAGGATAACAACCTCTTAACCCAGTTTGTGAATGCGACTGCAGGCAGCAGGCAGTAGGCAGCCGAGTAGCAGGCAGACGGATACACGGATACAGATACAGAGGCGCAAAGAGCAGGAGCAGATACAGGGGCGTATCCTTGTGCATGTCCTGGGCTACCCATTTTAAATTGAACTGTGCGCATTTAAGCGTGAACTGACAGCTTGGAAAATCGAAAGCAAAAATAAATTGTCTAGTGAACTT